TAGATGAGCAGTTAATAACAAGATTTAATACTGATCTTTGTACTAACAAATGATCATGAACCTATTTCCTTTCATATTACGACATTAATAAGATTAAACCATGCGTTGCATATTAAGTGATCTAAATGGAAGTTTGTATTATATCCCCCTTGAATGCCTATCCTTTTGGACTAGTCTTATAACCCGTATATATTGCCAATTGCTAATTAATAGACTCTACAAAAGATATAACTGAAGCATGAGAGTGCAATCATTTCTATAAAATATAATTACCATCGTGCTTTAACAAGTATAAGTGAAACACAAGAGCAACTGCCTAGCTCAAAAGATATATGTAAAGCACATAGAGTATTCTAACAAATAACCGAATAAATGCGTGTCCCTCTCAAAAGGTTTGTCCAGCAAACAATGATCATGGCAAACTAAAAAGCAAACAAATCAAAGATTGTAATACAAGACGCTCCAAGCAAAACTCATATCATGTGATGAATAAAAATATAGCTCCAAATAATACACCTTTGAATTGTGGACCAAAGAGGGGATGTCATCCGGGGCATCCCCAAGTTTAGACCATTGGGTCTTCCTTGAATATTACCTTGGGGTGCCTTGGGCATCCCCAAGTTTGGGTCTTGCCGCTCCTTTTTCCTTCATCCATCGTGATCTCACCCAAAACTTGAAAACTTCAGCACATAAAACTCAACAGAAACTTCATGAGATCTGTTAGTACAATAGACAAATCATAAACTTTAGGTAGTATGATGAACTCATTCATATTTTATTACTGCATAATACCTACTATATTCTAACTTCTTCATGACTTATAACCCCAATATGATCCATTGCATCGTTAAAACAAGCAAACTATGCAACAAAAACATAATTTGTGTAAAACAAGACAGTTTGTAATGATATGAACGACTATACTTCTACGACTCTAAAATTTATGAAAAATTTGGAAGACATGGGAAATTTTTATATCAATCATGTTTAAAAATTTCAGATTAACGCGTCTAGTGATTTTTAGAATTTTTTGCACTGGAAGTAAAACTTTCTTTTTTTTCACAGAATCAAGTGAACTATCAACCATATCACCCCAAACGCTTTAATTGGCACAAACACTAATTAAAACATTAAAAACAATCATAAAATTAGCTATAATTGTGTGAAACACACAAACATAAAATAAATGCAAAAAATGAAGATAACTGTTGGGTTGCCTCCGAATAAGCGCTATTCTTTTACGCAGGTGTAATACATTGTTTCAAGTATTGCCATCCTCAGTTTTCATTCCATAGGTAGCTCTCATAATGGATTCATATGGTGGTCTAATTATTTTCCTTGGAAAGTGTTCCATCCCTTTAATGTAAATATGGTGACGCCTTTGTGCGGCATTTTACTCCTTGGAGGCTTTATTGGGAAGCTTCCACATCTTGTCCTCCATGTGTGCCCCGAGTTTAATCCTTAAATTTATATTTAAGGATCGGAAGACGATGGAAACATCAATGTCTTTACCTTTTTGGTGGGCATCCTCTTGGAGCTTTGATTCACTATTGGCTGCCTAGCATCTCGGTTGGAGTGTGGTAGCTAAGTATGTAGTCCTTGGGACGTCTTCTGGTAGCGGAGGAAATGCTCTGTGGTGGCGGCCCAAGCTAAGTTTTTTCGCCCTCCATGTATTGTTGGTTGACCTTCTCGCAGGAGTGCTCGTGGTGGCGGTGAGGTCTCTGTGTTCCATGTCCAATTATGGTGTTTGAGGTTCACTTCGTTAGTGATGATGGGCCATGGGTTGCCAAGAGGAAATTCAAGGGTTGTCTCTATGGAACATTCCCTTTGGCACCATATGCGGATCTCTTTGTCATGACATGGCCACGGAGGTAGGTTGCCCTTCGATGGGGACTGCGACTGTCCTAGTTCTTCAAGGCTCAAAGTGCTCGTGAGGCAAGCTTTTGACTTTTTCTCTACGTCTTCTCTATGTTCGTTCTCCTTTGGACTGATCCAACAATAGTTGTTCCTCCTCTTCTCAGTCTAATCTAGTGGTGATGGGTGGGATGTAGGAGGAGATGGCTGCTTGATAGGACTCGTTTTCGTCTCTCTCTCTCTCTCTCTCTCTCTCTCTCTCTCTCTCTCTGTGTGTGTGTGTGCGTCAATGCTAAGTCTTGTAGCTGTTGTGTTGTATCTCATTCTTGTGTATTTTTTAAATATATAAAAATGTGTTCAGGCTTGCTTTTTCCAGACGTAGTTGCCTTCAAAAAGAAACACTGGATATATCAAACGACAATTATGACATACATGAACTGGTTTATGTGACCATATTGCGGTAGAACCTACATCTAGCCAGTTGTATTGTTTCCAATGGTGTTGTTATCCATCAAGTTGTGACTCAGACTAATCGCCGTTCAGGCCAGTCAGCTCAATAAAACATATGATGAGTTCACATTTTGTCATTTCTACAAACAAAAATTCACATTATCCGTCTTGTGTATTTGACTGCAATGTTGTAATATTTGTTTTTGCATCTAGAGGTATAAGACAACAAAACTTTGTTTGGACCAGAAGAGTACGTTCGAAAGTCATTGTACTTGTGTTTATCTATCAAGTCCATGTGCAGCCTTGTCTTCTTTAGTTAGTTGATGAGAACTACATCACAATAACTTTGAGTGGTTGTTCGGTAGAGAAACATGCATACAGATGGCACCATTATATATATTATGACATCAAAATATTCATGATAAATTTGAAAAAAAACTAGTTAGACTAGCTATAGATGAAGTGTCATGGAGAAAATCAATCAAATCAAATATCATTTTGGGAGTTTTCGTGCGACGACTTTTCCATTTAACCCACCATTTTGATCACCAAATCTGGTTTGCCGAGCGAGTCAGATGTGGCGTAACTTGCCCAGAGAGGCGGACCCTGGCAGGCTCCCGAAGAAGCACAACAGACGTGTCGCGAGGCACCACACCCCCACACGGCACACACAACCATGGCTGAGATGGAAGAGCAACCAAAGCCGGTATGGAAGTAACCAGCTTAGTCTGTCGTGATTAGGCCGATGTCAGAGCAGCTCGTAATTAGTTTTTTTGTATCTTGTGTGGTCTGACAAAATGGCTAGCAAGGGAGGAATGGAGGAAGACCAGTCATGGGGACCAAAATAACAGTAGTTTTTAAATACAATCGCACATCCTAACACAAGCATATACACTCATCTGTATGAACGTTACCTCTACAAGCACCTCCAAGATACTAAACTGGCACAACATCCTAGAATAGACAGTCATCACAGACTCCTTGTGGTGGACGGGAACATCTTCTCTAGACTTCCAATGAGGGAATATCGCCGAAAAGTTCGAAATAAATCTAAAAAAAATACGAGCACAGTTATTAGTGACATGGCACAGTTTACATGCCACAATTTTGTATAACAATACGACACACAAAAGCTTGGACCGGGACTCTAGAGCAGTTGATCAATTATATTACGGAATAAACTGCGGATGCCAACAGCTAGCAACAGCGTAACGGCTCATTTGTTTAAGTCTCCATCACATGGCAAATCAAGTGATATCTGACATAGTGCATTGAAAGGTTGACTTGTGTATTTTTTTTCATGTCCGGAAACAACCACGCATTCTTTAGCTCGTCGATGAGAACTACAGCACAACAACTTTGAGCGGTCGTTCGTTGAGAAACTAAGATAATACATTATGGCATCTCTAGCCGATCCCTTAAATTTAGCAGAGTTTACAATTAGCTCATGCATTTCGTCGAACAAATGGTATGCGTCTCTGCTGTGAGCGGCGATGATGATGACCACGCCGGTGCGGCTGTGGCCTCTCCCACTCGTACTCCAACTCTTACGTAGAGCGTGAACCTTCGGCTCTGGCTCGCATGCGCCCTCGCCACTAGCATGCATGCTTCGGCAGCGACAAGACGGAGAAGGCAGAGCCGTGGCGCGTGGAGCTGCGGTCGGTGGTCCCTGACAAGTGTGTGGTGGTGTGGTACATCAAGACAGGGGAGCCGGTGGCACTTTCACAGCGTGTGCTGGCGGTGTTCGTGCTGATGACCGTCGCCGACTTTAGCAACCAGTGCACGAACTACCAGGACAAGCTGCTCCGCAACGATGACGGGCGCCTGGAGTTTGCCGGCCACAACTGGGCCGCGCTCTGGCCCAAGACCGGCAAGCAGGAGGTGAGGATGAGTGCCATGTCGAGGCTCGCCGGCACTGTACAGCCTCATCACCACCGACAAGCAGCTCCGCCACATGTAGAACTTCTAACGTATTATGTATTCTGTATTTGTTTTCGCATGTGTGCTGCATCATCCGTCGAGTCCCAGCTTACTTTCTTGGTGTGGAACACAACTATAATAACCTAATTAAGCTCCAAACTTCTTTCACGTAATTCGAGCCCATGAAAAGATTTGGGCACTCACCAACTCATCGGCATGTTGTAGCTTATTTTGCGGCAGGATGTATGCAAAGATTTACATATGTTTTCTCCCTTACCTTTTGAGTGATGTTTATGTAGAAGGAATAGTAACGCTGATACTGAATGGCCGATTCTAACAGTGTATATTCCACTTGTTTTTTTATCTTCCATCCATCCACCAGTTATTTGTTGGATATAAATTTCTCTTTTTTATATCAGAAGATACTATATTTATGAAAATAAAGTGTAGCTCATACATTCAGTAACAATAATATGAGATATATGATCTGGGAAAACCTTATCCCAACTTACACCAGCGCCCCAAGATTATCAACATAAACGAACCCTACTTATCAACAACAACAACAATAATGCAAGAATAACTTTCCGGTGTGCCATGTTTCTCCTTTACTTTTCCTCAAGAGCAAGAAGAAAAACCATGTGGTGGTTGGTGAAGCCAGGAAGCCCCATATAACCCCTTCCCATCCTCGCTCCAAATCATTCCTCATCGCTCGGTCGCTCACAAAAAGCATCCACCACTACCACCATTAGCTCGGCTGCAGAGAAGCAGAGGAGATGGGCTCCACGGCAACCGATATGGCCGCCTCCGCCGACGAGGAAACGTGCATGTTCGCCCTCCAGCTCGGCTCATCATCAATCCTCCCGATGACGCTCAAGAACGCCATCGAGCTGGGCCTCTTGGACACCCTGGTGGCCGCTGACGGCAAGCTGCTGAGCCCCGCCGAGTTGGCCGCCAAGCTCCCGTCCACAGCGAACCCGGCCGCGCCGGACATGGTGGACCGCATGCTGCGGCTGCTGGCCTCGTACAAGGTGGTGTCGTGCACCCTGGAGGAGGACAAGGACGGCCGCCTCTCCCGGCGGTACGGCGCCGCGCCTGTGTGCAAGTTCCTTACCCCCAACGAGGAGGGTGTCTCCATGGCGCCGCTCGCGCTCATGAATCAGGACAAGGTCCTCATGGAGAGCTGGTATGTTAGATCGACCACAGCATCCCATCTCTCTTCCTGCTTTGCATGATTCTTTTTCTTTCCCAAATTAAGTTCAAGCAGCAGGTAAATAGAAGTACTAAAATTGGAGAACCTTGAACAATTCATCTAGATATCTCTTTGGATAATTGGTTGGTGTGTGGGGTTAGAGTAGAAACCTAGAGATTCCGTATCAAAAACGGGAAGCAGCTTCAGAAGCATAACCAGACCGCATGCTGACTTTTCTTACACCCAAATGACATGTGGCACATGTGTGGCACAAAGTAACACCGTTCTGACATTTTTATAACTAAAATTGTCATCGGAAAAGAAATCCAAAAAATATATCGAAACTTGCCATTAAATAGAAAGTTGCCATGCTTCACAAATATAGTTGCCATCTTCGGATAACTAAAGCTGCCATCAAAAAACGTCAGGGCGGAATTGCTTCATGCCACACGTTGCAAAAGATGTGGCAAACAGCCAAGTAGAGTATATGTTAAATTAACACTAATGTTAAGTGTCACACGCGTGGCACGAAGCACTCCAGCCCTGACATTATTTACAACTAAAGTTACGGTCCGAAAATAAAAAACAAAAATAAAAAACTAGAATTTGCCATCCGAAAAGAAGTTGCCATGATTGACAACTAAAGTTGTCATCCTCGCGTCACTAAACTTGACATAGAAAATGTCTGGGGTTGTCCTGTGTTCGTGCCACACATATGACACTTATCAGAGTGCATGCTTCTGCTGACGGGTTGTGGTTTCCGACATCAGCGCAGTATCCGGGACTTCACTTGAATTAGTGATATTTTTTCCCATTGATTTAGTTACTGGCATTTTTCATGTACATTATTCATACGATGAGTTCTTGGAGTAAATTGTGTTTGTAAATACAATCTGCAGGTACTATCTGAAGGACACTGTACTTGACGGCGGCATCCCATTCAACAAGGCGCACGGGATGTCGGCATTCGAGTACCATGGCACGGACCTGCGCTTCAACCGCGTCTTCAATGAAGGAATGAAGAACCATTCCATCATCATCACCAAGAAGCTCCTTGAATTGTACAAGGGCTTCAATGGCCTCGACACCCTCGTGGACGTGGGCGGCGGCATAGGCGCCACCGTCGGCGCCATCACCGCCCACTATCCCACCGTAAAAGGCATCAACTTTGACCTTCCCCACGTCATCTCTGAGGCTCCACCGTTCTCAGGTGTCACCCACGTTGGCGGCGACATGTTCCAAAAGATTCCCTCGGGGGACACCATCCTCATGAAGTGGATCCTGCACGACTGGAGCGATGAGCACTGTGCAACACTGCTTAAGAACTGCTATGACGCGCTGCCGGCGCATGGCAAGGTGGTGCTCGTGGAGTGCATCCTGCCGGTGAACCCGGAAGCCACGCCTGAGGCGCAAGGGGGGTTCCATCTCGACATGATCATGCTAGCGCACAACCCAGGTGGCAGGGAGAGGTACGAGAGGGAGTTCGAAGCCCTGGCCAAGGGTGCCGGGTTCGGAGCCATCAAGACCACTTACATCTACGCCAACATATGGGTCATCGAGTTCACTAAGTAGATGCATGACAAAGTCCACCGATATCTTGCTCATTGCCGCTCCTAAATATGCACTATCTTCTCTTTTTCCTTGTGTCTTCGTTAACTTTTTTATGTTCTAAATCATTCCAAATACTATTGTTTGTATCCTTGATTTGTTCAAAATGTACTATTATGAAGCTTCTTAATGGTTGCATATCTGATAGATGCTGCAATGACATGTTTTCTCTCATTCGATGAGTATAATAATGAAGTGAAGTGTTCTTGATCTTCCTCTTGAAAAAATGTCTATGCAACGACTCATGATTGTGTTTATTCCTTGATATAGCCTTTGATATTATACTAATACGACATTCGTAAGTGGAGGCACCCAGCTTCAAGATGCAATCATAGCAAGGAAGCGTACGGAAGAATTTGGACATTCAATATGAACAGACTGGCCATTATTCCTCATTCTGTTATCAGAAACACTGGATCTGGAACCAAGCAATACACTCCCCCTGACCCACATGTCACTCCCCCTGGGAGACTCCGGATAACCTAGACCGCTGCCACTAGCTACCCTCTCTCCGTGCCCCTTCTCCGCTGTTGTCGGTTGCTTTGCAATGGTAGTGGCGGCCCCCACTTACGAATGTGGTGTGTGAGACTAGTGGATGCTGTCGATCTACCATGGGCATGGTAACGTGGTGGTGACTTCCGCTGTTGCGTTGGTGTCGCGTGACGAAGGTGCCATTGGCAGTTTAGCAGATGCGTGGAGAATTGGCTGCTCTCTCATCCGTGGACGCTGCTCGGTTTGCGGTGTCGGATCCACCTGGATGTGGACTACTTGAGTGATCAATGTTTGACAAGTTCTATTGTGGCCCATCTCTGCT